ATAACCTTTGCATTACGTTTCTATTACTTACTGTGTTATCACATTGATTTTAGGAGGCATTGATATTTTTATGCATTTTTGTTTTTGAGGTATGTGGATGTCTCGAAGTTTCGCTTGGTCAGGGTTTACTGTGGTAATATATATTTCAATTATCCGAAATATTTGATCAACCAGCACACTCCTGGTCCCATAAGTGCCTGTTAATAAAATGTTTGCTGTATACACAGAAATCCCAGCAGCAGGGGTTACTAGAGATTGGACAATAGAAAGTAATAACTAGACTTCGATGGCAAGTCTCAAATTCGGCTGGCTGTTTTTAACACTTTGGACTTTTAACAGCCAATGATAAATTCTCAGACCCTACTTGCCCTGTCCCTTTGCTGGGAAAAAACACTTTCTGAAAATGACGGAGGAAAAGAGAGAAATCAGCAAGCAAAGAACAGAAATTAATCAACCCCAGCTGGTCAGGTCGAGGCTTTTGCAATGGTTTCAACATTGCCCAGGTTAAGACAAGTCAAATACTAATTAATTACTAATGTACATCACAAGAAATGTGCATATGAGGGACAACATACTTTGTTTCAGACAGTCTAATAACCCATCCACGCCCGTTGTCTTAAGCCAGGCATGAAAGGAAAACTAGACTTAGAAGTGTGAACTGGCCAATTTAGAAACAAGTAGACGCATTTCACAGATCTTGGAAAAAAATCTCCAACCTAAGTTTTATATCTAACTTCAGAAAGTGCACTTTGCTGTGCTGGAAAGTTTTGAGTTTCTATGACCCAGAGAGCTAAGCTGGCATGGGTACAACTCCCAATAGTGCCACTCAAGCTAGACAGGTCCAAAGATGGTAACCGGGCTAAGGCACCAGTCATCCTGATGGCGGGTGCAAGCCAAGGTAATGCTTGGTCACATAACGCATTTTGCTATAGAAACAACCCAGAAACCTGGCAAACCTGTCCGAGATTTAAAAATACAAACATTGATGTAAAGAACCACACTTTACAGGACTGAAAACAAGTTAATACTCCAGTAAGAGTCAAATAATGTGCTCCAGAGAGACGGTAAAGAAAAGAAATGAGTTCCTTCACTTGCCAGTCAATATAGATGGTTTAATCTAAATAGTCAAAATCATTTCCAAATAATCGCAAGGAGCTCTCAAGAGAGATTAAGTAATAGTTTAAGACAACACAGTGTGGAGCTGGAGGAACACATTAGGCCAGGCAGCATCAGAGCAGGAGGAAAGTTGACGTTTCGGGTCGGGATCCTTCTTCAGAAATCGCCATTTTTGAAGAAGGGTCCTGACCCAAAACATCAACTTTCCTGCTCCTCTGATGCTGCCGGGTCTGCTGCGTTCCTCCAGCATCTGCAGTTCTTGCTATCTCTAAGCAGTAGTTTAAGTACATCTACTGCACTGAAAATTCTAGTATGTCACTAACGCCAGCAGAGTTGGCACTGTGGAGGGATGCTGTTAACTAAATGTTCACTCAAAACAGCTAAGCACATACAAATGGAACTGTGTCATGGTAACGTCAAGTGATATGGTATGCCGAATAGATATGCTAAGTGAATCTAGTCCCATTTGCCAGCATTTGGCCCGTATCCTTCTAAACCTTTCCTATTCGTGTATCCACCCAGATGCCTTTTAAATTTTGTAATTCTACCACCCTCTCCAATTTCCTCTGGCAGCTTAAATGCACCACTCTCTGTGTGAAAACATTGCTGCTTATGTCCCTTTTGTATCTTCCCCCTCTCACCTCAAACCTATGCCTTCTAATTTTGGACTCCCCTACCTTGAGGAAAAGACCTTGGCTATTCCCCTATCCATGCCCCTCATGATTTTATAAACCTCTGTAAAGTCACCCCTCAGCCTCCGATGCTCCAGGGAAAATAGCCCCAGCCTATTCAGCCTCTCCCGACAGCTCAAACCCTGCAGTCCCAGCAACATCCTTGTAAACCCTTTTTGTACCCTTTCAAGTTTAACAACATCGTTGCTATAGCAGGGAGACTAGAATTTTACATACTATTCCAAAAGCGGCCTAACCAATGTACTATATAGCCACAACATGACATCTCAATTCCTATACTCAATGCACTGACCAATAAAGGAACATATAGAAACGCCTTCTTCACTACCCTTTCTACCTGTGATTCCACCTAAAAGGAACTATGAACCAGCACCCCAAGGCCTCTTTGTTCAGCAACACTCCCCAGGACCCTACCATTAAATGTATAAGTCCTGCCCTGATTTGCCTTACCAAAATGCAACACTTCACATTCATCTAAATTAAATTCCATTTGCCACTTCTCAACCCATCTGATCAAGGTCGCGTTGCACTCAGAGGTAACTTTCTCCACTGTCCACTACATCAATTTTGGTGTCATCTGCAAACTTTCTAACCATTCCTCCTATATTCATATCCATCTCAATGACAAAAAGCAGTGGACCGAGCACCAATCCTTGCGGCACACCGCTGATCACAGGACTCCAGTCCAAAAGATATTTTTAAGGTGAGAGGAGAAAGTTTTAAAAAAGTGCATGAGGGGCAAGTTTTTTTTTTAATATAGAGTGGTTCATTTGTGAAATGAACTGCCAGCGGAAGTTGTGGATGCAGGTACAGTCAGAACATTTCAAATACATTTGGATGAGTACAGAATAAGAAAGGTCTGGAGGGATATTGGCCAAATGCAGACAAGTGGAATTAGTTTAGTTTGCAAACATGGTTGGGATGGACTAGTTGGACCAAAGGGTCTGTTTCCACACTATGACTCTAATACAGGTGATGGTGATCAGCCACAAGAGGGCATCCTACACCTTGGTTTTCATTTTCAAGAGCAGTTGGCACAAAAAGCTGTTTTTAGTGGAACCAGAAGTCCTGGACCTTCTTATGCTCTGAATCAGGGTGTCTTACTTTGTGATGGCTTTTTTTTTTAAGCATCACATCTTTGTTGAAGAGGGTAAATAAGAGGTAAACATCCTGCCGGTGTTTGAGGTTAAACGCACAGAAGAGCCGCAAAGTGCAATGCCCTAATACTTAAAGAGCTAACAGCTCAAAAACAGCGTCGACCTCAAATGGATGTTCAGAGCCAAATGACATTCATCACAAATCAACTAACTGAAAAAGTATTCCGAGTCCCATCAGCACACTATTAAAGTACTCGAAGCTTCTTTAAGCAATGAGAGAGAGAATCAGAACATTGTCATCTTCTGCCTATAGATATTCTATGTTTTGAGTACCAAAAGCAGCTCAAGCAATTTGAACAAGAATTGGAGGAAAAGGACTGATCTAAAAGACCCACGATTGGCACTCATGACAAAAAAAAAATGTAATGGTCCAGTCACATATACTATAAGAATTGGTCAGAAGATTCTGCAGTAATTCATCTGACTCGCCAAACTTTGCCCCACAATCCACAAAGCAAAAGTCAGCGTGTTGGAATATTCTCCAATTGCCTGGATGAATGCAAATCCATCTGCAAAGAGGTTTGACACCAAAGACAAGACAACCACTTTCATCAGCACCTAATCTGCCAAGTTAAACATTCATCTATTCCACTGCCAGCATGAAGTGTTGCAGCTGTGTACCATCTGCAAAACTTCAAGTAATTCAAACTTCTTTCAACAATACCTTCCAAATTTCAACCTCCACCAACTAGAAAGACAAAAGGTAGCAAATCACATGGGAACAGCACCACAAGTCACACACCATCCTGACTTGAAACTATAATTGCTCTTCCAAGATGATCACTGGGTCAAATTCCGCACCTCCCTTCCGAACAGAACCAGGGTGTACTCAAACCAGGGGTAGAGCAACTTAGGCCAACTCTCACTACTTTCAGTGCATAATTATGAGTCAGCAACAAATTCTGTCCTTACCAGCTATACTCATATCCATGAATAAATAGAACAAAACTAAATCCATCTCCCCAAGGAAAATTTTCGCGACCTCGTTTACGAGCAAGCCCTTAATGATATTATGCTCGGTGATGGATTCAGCTTTCTATTAACATTCAAATCTATCCTGGTTGCTATGCTGTTCTATCTTGCTATCTATTTATCCTTATGAGCACAAAGTACTTTAGAACACTTTACCACATTCAAAATACTATCTAAAGTGCTTGCTGTATATGGTATTGAGAAGCATATGAAAAAAAGAAGACACGCTGTCCTCCTCCAATAACTCCAAAAGCTATCTCACCATACTTATAGGGAGCTTTAGTTGAAACCATATTTCAAGGCCCCAGTGATAATTAAGAATTGGCTCCAACTCAACATGTCAGTCAGATCATGAAAAGTAGGGTTCATGTCACAATTCCCTTCCCAACTCCAAAATATCATTAACCCACATGGGCTGAAGGTTAGATGGAATAGTGATGAACAACAAAAACTGTATGGATAACTCCTCACAAACAGAAGACAGGTGTTTCATTTATGATTTTCCAATTTTCAGGTCCTTTTCAGAATCTGGGAAATTTGGGAGGCTTACAAGCAATGCATACACTATCTATATGGCCATCTTTTAAGACCCTAGGATAAAAGGCAACAGGTCTGAGGGATTTGTCAATGTTTTGTCCATGTAATTTTCCAGTACTGATTGTAGTATTGTTTCAAGTTACTTTCTTTTGCTTCTTCATATTCTACTATTGTTGTGGAGCATTATCCACTATCAAGGCAGAAACAAAATACCTGTTCAAAGTCTCAGCCATTTCCTTGTTTTTGATTATTAATTCTTCAGCTTCACCCTCTTTTGCCAAGCTTTAATTTATTCAGCCCACTTCATTCCAGTTGTCAAATATAACCTTGACATCACCTAGACTGTTTTACAAAAGAACCCACAAAGACTTGATGGGTGAATCACCTCTCTCTGTGCTGCACTAAATATGATGCTACCATTTCAACTTGACCTTAACTAAAACAAATGCTGAGAATCAAAATAAATTTGTTCACCTGTGAATTTAGCATTCAATTTCTTTCCCCAGCACTCTCCAACATATCTTACCTGTCTTGTCTTTGCTGAGGTTTCTATGAAAGGTATCCCATAACTCCTAGCTAGTTCCTGTGCTTGTTTCGTATCCACTGTCCGGGCAGGTAGATCACATTTGTTCCCCACCAATACCATGGGAACATCTTCAGAATCCTTTACTCGTTTAATCTGTTCTCTGAAAGAAAATCATTTTCATTTTGGTATTTATGCCTGAAGAAACAATTCTCATCCTTGGCTCTATACACAGTAAAACACCACTGGTCCACCACAATAAGAGTCTATCAAATTAGACTCGAACCCCCCAATTTATATGTTCTCTTGCCTAAAAGCATATCTCTTTCATTGCTATAGTTTAACAATTTAGTAACAGTTTCCACAGTAGACCTGTAGCCTTTGCTGAGTTGACAGTTGCAATGAAGCCATAAAGAAAAATAATAGAGAAGGATCAGGTTATGAAGCATGATGGAAGCTCAGTCAAAGAGATCAGGAGATACTGCAGCAGCATTTTAGTGCACTGGGCTAAAACAGCTCTACAGTCAAATATAGGCGAACATTAAGTTAGAGCACAGGCAATGGAAAGGTACAAGAATGCAATAGTGAAGAACATCTGATGTAACTGTGCAAAATTGGGAGAAGAAACTATTACCAGACAACTGTGATCAGTTACAAAGCTGATTTTGACTATAGCAATAACAGCAGTGTGGGCAGAATAGAAACTAGATTCAGTGATTCTGAAAGGGTAGTAGAGAGATGAACTCAAAGCTGGTGGCAGTGACAATTGAGAACTTGAGCTAGAAAGGGCAGCTTGGACGTAAGGTAACGAAGCGATAAAGGCTCAGGTGTCTTCTTCCCAACAATTATACACACAACACAATAGCAACAGTTCTGACAGTAAAGAAAGAGCGTCTGAAAAGAAGGAACTCATAACAATAGCAGGGTGTTACATTGATGGAGTAGTTAAGGATGAGAAAAGTCGAGGCTACATCAAAAATGCAGGAAGTAGGACACATGAAGATCCAAAGTCGGATGGGGAGAATGCAGCTATAAAATGATAAAGGGTGAGGTTAAGGGTCTAGGGATGGGAATGTTTCTGGGTCAAGGAAAAGGAAGAATGGCTGAGAGGAAAGAGAGCATATATTAGATTCAATCAATCATTCTTTTCTCCCCCCTCTATGTAATGAGTTGCAGTGACATTGAAGCTACAGCTTGAGATGCAACTCCACAGACATATCCTAAGATGCTTCTAATAAAATACATACAACAGGCATGAGTCAGTACTACATCAACCTTCTGCTGTTTTAATTGATTATACAGTGAAATTTCAAGATTTTTCCTTTTTCAAGATAAGTTAATTACCCAAGCTGGTTAGTAGTGGTATGTTAAAATACATCTGTTTGCCCCCTTAGCAAAAGGAGAATGGACATGGTCTGTTGCGGGTAAGTTAGAAGATCAATCACATCAGAGAACTTGTTTTTAGTCAGATTCACGATTTAACTTCTTGTATTAAAAGAAAGTATTTTAATCTAGTCACAGTAACTTGAACATGGAAAATGCCATTTAGCCCAAGCAGCTTGGACCACTATGTACTTCTGCACAACTAAACATTAACTATATTTATCCATCCTACATTTATCCTTCATCCAGCTATTTAATTTTCTTTTCAACATACAGCCTCTAGACCTTTATTTCAGACTTATTAACCTCTCAAACAATTTGCTTCTACCTAATGTAATGAAAAATGCTTGCGTTCAAGTCTTTCTTTGTATTAGCAGAATCCAAGTTACGCCTTCTCCAAAGCCTCAACAGCCTTCCGTTAGAGTTGGGCCTGCAAAAGCACTAAGTACTCTGAAATCAGGAATTATCATGCAAGCTTTTCATGAATTTTTAGCTTTCATATTCTATTTTGTGAAATTTTTTTTGAAAAGTGAAGAGCATTATAAACCTAAGGAACTACATTTAATATCCTGTGACCTGCATGCCCAAATCACCCTGCTCTTTAAGAACACTGAACCAACTTCGGCTCAGAGCAGTCTCTATTGTTTTTTTTAAACTAACCAGTATTTCATTCACTAACAATAAATTCACCTGTCACTTTGTAACCCAGTTCTTGACAGTATCCTTGGAAATTGATGTTAACATTCTAAAGAGTCAACAATAGGTTACTATTTTATGCATCCAGACTTGTATCCAAATCACAGATTATGCACAGCTAACAGAATAGCCCAAATATTGGATCTTTCAATGTCCTACTTCAAAAACTTCTCTGCTGTCCTACTTATTAATGTTCCCTCTAAGCTACATGGCCATGTGGCTGTTCAAAGGTCCTGCTCATGCTAACTGGTGCGCCAACGCATCAACTTCTACATGTGGAGGTCCACACAGCAGAGAAAAAAAACAAAAAAGTAAGGATTATAGCTACTCACCCCTTTCTCCTAACTACTGTATTCCTGGTTCTGCTTAATTCCCCACTCCATTACCTTCGGGTAATCTCGTGTGGTACCTTATTAAAGATTTCTTTAAAATCCGTGGATGCCACTTTCCACTGCATGTACTCAATTACCACATCTAGTACCCTATATGCTCACACTCAATAGAAATCTGAAATACGATGTGTAGGGGCATGGAAATTTCCCAATATACAAGGATCCTAGGATACATCAAATTAGGGTCTGGGACCTCAACTTCCATCAGCCGAGCCAGTGTAGCTAAAATTTACACATCTCAGTCTAAAAGTGAGAGTTCATGAGGTGCGTTTTCTGACACATCTGTATTTGATGAAAAACTGAAGCAAATTCATATGGCCTTGGCAGTCAATCGCAGAAAAGCAACAAAAAGGGTTAAGGAACGCAGAAAGTGTCATTGCACCTACCTGTACAAGTGAACATCTGCAAAAGATTTATTATTATTTATGGCAAATACACAAAGGAATCCTTCTCCTGTCCTCATGTATTGATCCCTCATAGCACTATACTCCTCTTGACCTGCCGTATCCAGAATGTCTAATAAACATGTTTCACCATCAATCACTACCTGTTTCCTATAGGAGTCCTGAGGGGAGAAACAGACAATAACTTTGTTTTAAAAGGATTATATTCACTAAAGTCCAACTGCATAATCAAGAATCAAAATACTTAAATCTATATATGCATGTATGAACTGTATTCCTTAAATTGTGAGATGGATTAGATGGCAAAGGCATGGAAGCAATCTGGAAGGACAAAATGATGCAGACAAGACAAATACATCATGGGAGGTTCTTTAAAACCCCATTGCTTCCACTGAATACATTACTGAGCGATGACAATGTCATAATGGAGAGTCAACCAATAACGGCACAATGTACGAACCTCCCCACTACTGCTTTGTTGAAAATTTCAAATTGAGGCAAATGTGACTAAGAATTCTCTTTTTGTGGAATTGTTTCGACGTTTGACTTATTAAAAGCAATTTACAGAACCATTGTGGACTCTTCAAGGCCATTTCTTACAAATCCAACAAGGAAATATGCAATACTACACCCAGTTCTAAATAATGAATAAGGTCAATAAACAACTGGAAGGTAAGAGATCATGTAATGGGCCAACAATCAAGAGTTAACAGAACCTAACTGCAGGAGAACTTCAGTAGGTCAGGCAGCATCTGCAGAGGAAAAGCAGAGTCAACATTTTGAGGGCAGTGACCCCTCTTCAGTATGCAAGAGCTGGTTTATAATCAGGATCGACAGTGAAAAAATAATACTGAATGGAATTACAGCAGAACATAAGAGAAATCGAGCTCATTAACAGTGCAAAACAGTCCCAGATATACACAACAATCTTATATTCAGCTGTAGAATACAAAATGCCATGAAGAGTCAACAGGTCCAGTAGCACCTATGGAGAGGGAAACATAATTAATGTTTCAGTTTAAGACCTTCCATCAGAACTGGACAAAAAAAATTTACAGGTTTTATGCAAGTACAGAGAGATGGTGAATATAGTGGCTGTTCACAAAGATGAAAGGGAAGAATCAGTACACTATACACTAATTGGCCTTAAGTCAGTAATAGGAAAGATCCTAAAGACAAAATGATTATGACGACAGTAAACACTGAAGTGGATTAACCAGGCAGAGTGAATTTGCAGATAAGTTCTACTGCATTAATTTCATCAAAATCCTTCAGTGAAATTATCAAATAAATCAAACAAACTGAACACAGTGGATGGGACTTATTTGGACATGAAGATAATACCAATTATAGTAGAGATGTCCACTGTGATTCAATGGTTGAGACAGAAGGTTTCATTCAAATACTATTTCAGAGCACAAACTTTAGACTGGCATCCCCAGTACATTTTTCTTTCTCATTCCCTCAAGGGATGTGTGGATAATTCAATGGACCAGCATCTATGAGCCATTGCTGTAGTTATGGAGTCACATATAGGTCAGGCCAGGCAAGGATGGCAACTTCCTTCCCCAAAGGACATTATTGAACTAGATGCTTTTTTCTCAACAATCAATGACAGCTTCATGGTTAAAATCAGGTGCTTAATTCCAGACTTTTACTGAATTCGAATTCCACCATCAGGCATGGCAGAATTTGAAGCAAGGGCTCCAAAACATTACCTGGATTTCTGAATTAACAGTCTGTTGACAATACCACTAGGCCTTCCTCTGGAGATGCTGACAAGGCAGTTTTGGTAAATTTCTGCTGTGTACCTTGTAGATAATATAGACTGCTCCTACTGAGCACTGCTGGTAGAGGAACTGAATGTTGTGGATGTGGTGCCAAACAAATGCTGCTTTGTCATGAATAGTGTCAAGCTTCGGGCATTGTTGTACTCATCCAGGTAAGTGGGGAGTATTCCATCACACTCCTGACTTGTGCCTTGTAGGGGACTTGTTTCTTGTGGACAGGCTTTGTGGAATCAGGAGGTCAGTTACACATTTCAGAATTTCTAGCCTATGACCTGTACTTGAAGCCACTGCATTTATATGGCTGGTATCAGTTCAATTTCTGGTCAATTGTAACTCTCAGGATGTTGATAATGGGGAATTCATTGATGGCCATGCCATTGAATGTTAAGGGACAATGGTTAGACTTTCTCTTGTTGGTCACTATATTGCATTTGTAAGGGTGAACGTTACTTGCCACTTGTCAGCCCCAACCTGGATATTGTCCGGGTCTGCTGCATTCAGATATTGACTGTTTCATTATCCAAGGAGTTACAAATGGTGCTGAACATTGTGCAATTATCAGTGAATATCCACACATCTGATCTTATGACGGAGGTAAGTCCAATATGAAGTGAAGTCCAGTGGCAGAGGTGCTGTCTTATTTTAACCTGAGGCAGTATCCTCCCCTCTCAAGTGGGCACAATTTCATGATAGTATTTTAGGATCAGCATGGGAACAATTACATACCTATTTGTGGAATCTTACTGTATGCATTTCCTATATTTATAGGAGTGACTTTATAGCAAATATTTTAGTCACCATATCAGGAAACCAAGCAATCTGCATATAGCAAACCTCTCAGAACAGCAATGCGCAAAAGATCAGACAAACTGTTTTGTTAAAATAGTTGTAACATAATCATTTGTCAATCCACCCAGGGAGAATTCCATCCTCGCCAAAATAATGCCATCTTTTATGCCAGGGAGTGAGGACTCAGCATCTAATCTGAAAGTCAGCACCTTTCAAAATGCAGAACACTCTTACTGCTGTGTAAACAACAACTAGATTTTTATGAAGTCTCAGGAGATAGACTTAGGATTTCCAGCATGGAGCCAAGGCTGAAACTAAAAAGTTAATAAAATGCTAGGTTTTCCATTGGAGATTGAAAACAAAAGTAAGGTTGTTAATCTGAAAATCAAGTGCTTACAGTCAGAGAAGTGCTCTTTTTTGTTCTGAGTAATAGAAGACAGCAGTTTTGGAAATGTATAACATATCTTTTGTTGGAATTGATAAACTAGGATTTTTTGCATAAAGCTAAGAATACAGCATCATTTACAACTCAAACATAAATAAAAATCTGCCTAAATTACTTTCAACATTACCCAATACCCGACTCTTAGGACTGAGCCCACTTACCTCAATTGTTGGATCGTATTCATCAACAAAGTGGTTCTGAATCAACTGGATCGTCAAGGCACTCTTTCCCACACCACCAGCTCCGACCACTACCAGCTTATATTCCGTCATTTCAAGCTTCCCTCAGCGGCAAAACTGAGAAATGAAAAAAAAGATAAGAATATTTGGCAGAGTTATCAGTATAAAGTTTCAGGAAACCAAAAGGGTCGATTTATGAAATTTTCCTGCGAGGTCCATTAGAACAATACCACCAAGAGTAATATGAACTCTGTCCTCACAAACCTTAACCGTGTTTGGGCAGTCTTGAGTTATAGGACAGCCTATTAGAGGTAGCATGCAGAGGAAATGTTTGGTGATGATTTAAAAAATGTGGATCACACAGTTATAATGATTTCAACAGGTCACTTGCAAAACATTGGTTTAATCATATACAGTTATATTTTTAAGAGATCAGCCAACTGTGACTTCTAAAACCATTAAGTAAGTTTTATGTCACTTTTTAGTATTAAACTAGGAAATATTGTGATGGGTCAGATTATGTCTTTAGACACAGCCTGGTTAAATTCAATCCATCCAAAAAGTCAAACAAGTGCAATGAAAATCACACATGAGAACAAACTTTCAAAACATGTTCTTTAAAAAGATTTTACTGTAGAAATTTTAATACAATTATAAAACTATATTACTTACTCAAAATTAACAGAAAATTGTTGCCAGGCAGCTTATGAACATAAAAACATAAGATACAGTAGTATTTGTTCATGTGCCCCCACAGACTCACTTCACTATTCAATATAATCACAAATGATATTCTACCTTAATTCCATTTAGACTTATTCTCTATATTCCTCGATTTAGTGAGAAACCAAAAATATCTAAGCTTTAAATGTATTCAATTCAGAGCGTTTACGACAGGTAGGATAGAGAATTCTAAAGATTCACAAGCCTCAGTGAAGAAATTTCTCACCTCAGTTCTGATTCACTGAGGCTTTTTCCTGAGACTTTTGCCAGAGTTCTCAATTCACCAGCCAGAAGGGGCAACCTCTCAGTATTTACACCATTAAGGCTCTTCAAAATCTTGCAGATTTCAATAAGATCATGTCCTAGTCTTCAAAATTCCAGAGAATATGGGTTCAATTTACTCAGCCTCTCATCACAGGTTTCTGGTTTGTGAGGTTGTTCTTCACTGCACAGCCTCTTAGGCAACTACATTCTTCATTGGATATGGAGCCAATAACTATCCAGAGTGCTTCAAATGTGATTTCAACAAAGCCTGACAATGGTAGCAAAACATCCTTATTCTGGTATTCCAATCTCTTTGTGATAAAGGTTAACACACCATTTGCTTACTAATTGCTTGCCACACCTAAGTTTGTGTTCTTTGTGTATGTTCATTAGAGTTTCTTTGACCATAAACATTTGGAATCATCTCTCACCAAAATCATATACTTGAAAATGGCCAGAATTTTTGAATAAAAGGTAAAAATTGATCCATTAACAAGCACAGCACTTGTTATAAATACCTTTAGCCCACTGTATTGAACTGAAAAACTGAGTGAAGAAAAGTTCAGCAATGCATTTTTCATCTCAAGCTATATGCACTAGAGGCTATTTGGAGTGCTGGGTGTGTCAGCCCTAAGTACAATAAAAAAAATGAATCTTCACCTGTTAAAAATAAAAAGTACAGTTTAATTTATTTAATGGAGGCCAGCAACTTCCAAGTCAAGTGAAGTAGTTATGAGACAAAAATTAATAGCAAGAACTCCTGGGGAATGTTAGGGGTGTGGGAGAAAAGTTTGAAATATGCCCACACAATGACTTAATAACACAAGATATAAATTTGAGGTCACCTGAATCTCTGAACTGAATTGCTCTCAATTTACATTTGAAGTTTCAGTTCTCCTCCATTCACAGAGCAGGCAGAAAAACATTTACTGTTGAGATCGACATGTGTGGATAGAAGAGTTATCAAAATACAACCAGACAGACAACCGATCCTTTCACATTCAATGTTCATAACTAAGTTCTTCAGACCAAACTGTACAGCACAAAATCCAGCTTCCTGCACAGATCAGACATAGTAGTCAAGATTGATTAAAAGTGAACATCTGATGTGATGTCAAAAATAAAATACATGTCCATTTAGAACTGGCAAAGATCCAGCCTGGATCCTATTCTCTATGCAAGATCCTGCTCCTCTATGACTCCACAGGACAGCACTACGGAAGAAAATGTCGATACAAAACAGTCTGTACATCTTCTCTTCAGGTATTACCAGAAGTTTGATTCAATCTCAGAAAAGATAGGCTACCCGCCTGCACACAATTTCAGTGACGTTCAACTGAATAACCACCTTAAGTTCTCTAAACTGGCTTGCCATTAATGTATTCGTCTGTAAATGGCAAGCAAACACTTTATAAATAACCACTCCGATATGCAAACTAGCATATGATCCTTTCTTAAAAGGAAAGGGAACAGATATCAAGTGAGCAGATCAGACTTTCCATCAACTAACCCAATTTCCCAGAACATGATCACTTTTAGGAACAGTAAATGTACATTAAAAACTACTTGACACAATCGCTTTCAAAAAGTCTACTAAACACCTGCAGACACTCTAAGCTATGTAATTCGTAACTAAAAGCTTCCAGAAACACAATTCTACTGTATACATCTACTTCCAAGTTATCAAAAAGCACCTTTCATCAGCAGAATGCCAAATGAGTAATGCACAAACAGGAACCCAACTCTCCAACTCCACTTATGGTAGATCTACAAAGGACCAACGCAAAGCATGTCTTCGATTGTACAGGCAATGAGGCACTCTATGCCATTCAAAACAACACAACTCTGACCGGGAAGCACGGTACGTCATTACCTCCGAACCCCACCCCAAACAAAATGTGTCAAACATACTGTAATAAGTATCCTACTGTAATAAATTCCCTGAAATTGTAAGAAAGCCTGTTTAAACACTATTAATGCATATTTATAACCTAGCTACCTCTTTTCAAGGTTCGGATTATCTGTTACAGAATGATCTCTTTTCTACTGTTACAGAGAAGTAGCCAAAGGAAATCAGTCCCCCATTCCTGTATTCACAACATAGTAAAATTAAAACATTCAATGACCCTTAAAATTGACCCCAATGGTTCTCAATCACACTTGGTGAATAACTAATACCAGACACCAGGTTTATAGCTTTAACAAATGATGTAACAATTTATTAATAATAGTGTAGCTTTAGAACAGCAAAGTTAAGCAACAAGGTAATCTAATTAATGTCTGTGATTTACACACAAACTTCTTTGATTCTAGCCCACATACTCACAAAGAACAGACAGACAAGAGATAAATCAAAAGGAAAAAAAAAAGAGTTGTAACTAGCCAGTTCACTTAAGCAGTCTCATGATCCATAATCTCACAGGCACACAGGACTGTATCTTGCTTGGTTTTTTTGAAGACACCGATGCATGCAAACAGCTTCCAGCAGGATTCGAAGAACATTCACCGAAAACTTACAACTGAGATTCTATTCTCTGAACTTTCATTAAGTTCATAACAAAAGAATAACAAAAGAGCAATCAAACCTCTGCCCTGCAGCTTTTGCTTCCTTTCTCCTATACTTAATAGTTCAAAAACCACAGCAAACTTTGGCTTCTGTTTCTGTTTGTTTTCATTCTCTTTGTTAAACTGATTGGCACGATGACTCCGTTAGGCTCCAATTAACATTCAACTTGCGCCATCTATTTCAGCATAAGGCCTCTCTCAAGTTGAAGTGTCAACAGAGTACTTATAACAAGGACCTACCTGCAATTAACTTTCAGGCCAGGCCCTACAAAAAGAAAATCAGTTTTGTTCACCATTTTAAAAAAAAAACAAGCTGCAACTCACAGTCCAAAAGACACCTTCAGCTCACAGTTTACAGCTCCAAACCAAAACTGATAACAATAAAAATAAAATAATGAAGGTCTCAACACTACTTTCAGCAAATTTAATTTCTGAGATCTTGATTTTTCTCCATCTCCCATATCATGATTCTTGTTGAGACAAAGTAGCACTGGAGTGAAATTTCTGTATCAAATAAAATGGCATTCATCCACATGAAGTATTAGGAGACAGGATGAGCAGCATTTTTTTCCCCCAATCTGTCTTACTCTCCTGCCCTGACTAATGCAGATGTATAGATCCACAAGCATTGGTCACTCTCCCTTTGTAATAATCTTCAGGCTATTTTTCACATGTGCGCAAGTGAGTTTTGGCAAGATTTTCAATCATGAAGGAGCATCACAGCTGAGTCAGATCCTGCCCCAGCACATAATTTTCAGCAAGAACTCACTAGAGATATTAGGAACGGAGGCAAATACCAAAAGTCCATCTCCTGGTCAGAGTCCAAATTAGTGGCTCTATTGTTACTTAGCATAAATAAACTAATACAGCAGGGACTGGGAGCAGTGTCTGCAGCCTGCCGTCCTCTCCTGCTCCAATACATGCAGCCTTTTTCAATTAAAGCAATGGAGCACCACACTTCTGATTTTTTCTTATTAGGTCATTAAGTAAACTTAGTTGAATTTTTTGAGAGATTTTCTTTAACATTTTTTTTTAAAAACAATAAGACTAACTGTCAGACTTCAACTCAACTGTCTTTTTAGCAACAAAATACACAACTGCAGCATCTTTCAACATGACAAGATCTCAAATTTTCCTGAAATGGTCTTTATAAACAAATGGTTTCCAGTAGATAATGACATGCCCCCAGTACACTAAGCCACTGCAAATTTAGTGCTCTTAGATTTTCAATTGGCATTTAACAAAATTCCTCAAATAATTAGATACATTCTATATACAGTGCACAGAGAATATAAAGAGGGAAAAACTACTTGACCTCATTACCCATCTTTCTGTTGCAAATGCATCTTGCCCACGACAGTATTAGGTAGACTGACCACCCCATGGTTCTCATGGAGATGAAATGGCATCTTCATACGGAGGACACCATGTTAAATAAAATAGATTTGGAACATATCGACCAATTCACAAGGCACTATGGGACATTAGCAGCAGCAGAATTATATTCAAACAATCTGTAACCTCATGGTTCTGATAAACCCTAGTTCATAAGTAGCACAATAAAG